CCCCCCCCCCCCCCCCCCCCCCCCCCCCACATTAATGATTAAAGCCTGAGCTTCATCCAATTATGCTAATGAGCTCTTTAAACATATTTGAGACCCAATGTTTTCTATTTCACTTTACTTTCTTTTAGAATCATAAAATAGAACTGCTTGTTCATCTGCATAGTTTGTGCTGGAATGGATGAGATTTACCTTGATAATATTTGTGCTTCCAGAATTATTACATCATACTTGACTGAACATGTCGCAAAATGCTCTTAAATCAGCAATCTTTGTTAGAAGCTGATTTAGTTGCTTGTGCTCAGGCAAAGCGGCTCAAGGCCATAATGATGGCTGCAGCTGAACTTGCAGCATTGCGTCTTAAAGATCTCCCATCTGCCAAAGGTATTGCAATTGATCAGAGAGATCAAGTCTTTCAGCTTCTCGATAAAAATGGTGATGGACGGATTAGCATTGAAGAACTTATGGAAGTTATGGAAGAGCTGGGCGCCCCTGGAGAAGATGCACGGGAGATGATGCAGCTCCTTGATTCAAATAGTGATGGCTCTCTAAGCCCCGATGAATTCAGTACCTTTCAGAAACAGGTAAAGTGATTTTCTTACTTTGGCTTTGATTTGGGACAAATATGGAAAGTGGCCTGTTAAAGATTATTTACTGATCATGATGGGTCTACCTTTTATTTGGCTGAATCACTGGGAAATTCAGCAGAGGAGTTTCAAAAGGAATGTTGCCTTAACACTGAACATTAGGGTGTGCGTGTCTTTGGTTACATGGGAGGCACCTGCTGGCCTATATCAGAAGCTCGAACACCTCCCAAACTTATTTCTGTATTTCCAGTTGTCTTTAACCATTTTAATTGTATATTGTTTCTACAGGTTGAATTTATGCATAATTTAGAGGACAAAGATCATCAGTACAGAAGCATGTTGAATGAGAAACTTCAAATGGCAGAGGACAGTGGTTTGATTCAGGTATACAGTAAAGAGCTTGGCATCAGGCTTGCAAGTTAATACTTAACGAATGAGATGATGATTCATGTATAGGTGACCCGATACTATCACTTTGTATATTATTGCTTGTTGTATGATCATAATTCGGAGGCATAGAAGCCATTCTCACTATGTATCTGTTTTTATATTCACAACATCAGTAGATAAATAAATGAAAGCACAAAACTGAGATTTATAGCAGCTCTCTCTCTCTCTCTCTCTCTCTCTGTCAGTCTATATATACATATAGACACACACCAAGGCAAAGGTAGCCAGCTTTGTCGCCGGGGATCGTTTGAAAGTTCATTATAGTTACTTTTCAAATAGTTTTTTATATCAAAATATATGTTGATATTTTTTTGTTTTTAAAAAATTATTTTTAATATTAATATATTAAAATAATTTAAAAATATTAAAAATATATTAATTTAAAATTTTAAAAAAATACTTTCCAAACACACAAACAAACAGATATATAATTAATCTTTGGGCTCCTTCAATCACAATACAATTAAACTTTTCGTGTGTACGGATATCTTGAGTGTTTTCACTTGATTTTTAAATTGTTTTTTACCTAAAAAAAATCTAATAGATGCTATTTTATTTTAGGTATTGTTGAATTATTTTAATGTAATAATATCTGAAATATATATATATATATATATATATTATTTTAATATATTTTTAATTGAAAATTCCACACCATCATTCATTCTCTCTCTCTTTTATATATATATATATATCTATGGTTGTGATTATTTTTCAAATTGTTTTTTATTTTGAAATATAGTATGGTTGTGATTATTTTTCAAACTGTTTTTTATTTTGAAATGCATCAAAATAATATTTTTAATTTTTAATTTTTTTTAAGATCAGCGTGTCAAAATAATTCAAAACATATAAAATAGATCAGTGTGTCAAAATAATTCAAAACATATAAAATAATTAATTTTTAACAAAAAAAATAAATCTTTTTTGAAAACACAATTTTCTCAAATACTTCCTAGAGATAGTTTTTAATTAGTTATGTATTAACAACCAATCCAAAACAGACGAAATTAATGTTTATGATTATATTTTTTTTTTCATTTTTTATCAAATTAAGAACCTTTGACAAAAAAAAATTTATTGAAAAAAATATATTAATAAGAAAAAGAGAAGTTATACTAGAATTATTTTTTAGTTGAGTGTAAATTATTTATTTTTTTAATCAAAAACAATTTTATTGTCATGTAATAAAATAAAAAAGAATTGAAGAGCTTCCTGTAACATGAAATCATATGACTTAATGTATATTTTTATCCTAGTTTTTCAATAGTTGGAATCAATAAATTTATTATTATTTATTGACACATATAATTGTTGATTTTTTTTATTGAATGTATATATTAACTTTCCTAGTTTTGAAATTTTTCTTTATTGTGAAAAAATAAATAAAACCCCACATCTTTTTTTTATTATTATTAAAAAAGATTACTTCATCACGATGGCGTGGAGTACCATCTAACTTTTTTTTTGTTTGTTTTATTTTGGAATTGGGTCCTTCAAACTTTTTTTTTACAATCTAAAATATGTTTTGGGATAATTACCAAAAACATCACATGCTTTGATATATGTTTTGTTTTTAATGTCAGATTCAAGAAAAATTAATGAACAGTTAACATTAGAAGTTTCTCATTATATTTAATTTTTTTAATAACTGAATAGCTCTCAATTAATGAAATTGTCCTTCATAATTTATAATTACAATAATGTCATCCATAACTTTATAATTCCATGAAAATAAATTCCTTTTAAGCATTTCAACAAATTGGTTCATGCGAGTCAAGGAACTTTCCGATCAAGCCAATCCTGGACCCAATAATTCAATATTAAAGCCGAGGCGAGAATGAGCGAGTGGTAGTGGAAAAATAATATGTTTTCTTTACAAGAGACAGAAAAATGAAATGAATTATTCACATATTAATAACTTCTCCAACTCTGAATCTACGGGCATCCCATCTTCTGTATATTTCTTGACGCCTCACAGCAAACAAAGATGGAAGCCGATGCCGGCCGGCCTATCGGACTCATGCATTGTGCTGAATGAATCTTTAATGGATGGCCATGTTGATCATGCAGAGACAGATAATCATACTTCTGTGGTCAACAGTCCTGGACTTGAGGGGACACCTAACTCCTTTGATAGCTTTGTACATAACTGCAGGTATAACAACATATGCAAATCGAGCGTTAGTAATATCATCACGAAAGGAGAATGGAGAGAGAGAGAGAGAGAGGCATGCCTGTCTGTATGCTGAAGAATCTCCATAAGATTTTCTTAATTCAACTACATACAGTGATGGGCTAATCTCAAACACCTGAGACATTAGAAAATGTATTGATAGGTTCTAGTTGCGGCACAAACACAATGTACAAATTAAGTTCCTGCAGCAACATGTCAAGAAAAGCATTTCAAAAACCAAGGAAATCTGAGAATGGATTTACCTCTGTGGCAACAGAAAGACTGCCCGAACTTCTCTTTCCTCTGTGCTCTTGAATCACTTGAAACTGGAAATGTATGTGCACAGCAATTTCTTAGTTACAACCCAGTGTTCAAATGGCATGATTCCTCAAGTCTGGTAAAGACATGAGAGATTACTGATAAAAAAAAAATACTGACCTTTCCATTTCTCTTCTGGACTCGAAACCCCATCTCCGTCACAATATCCTCTATCTTCTCGAGCAAATCGCTCATAGAATGATTGGATGTAAATCTGATCTTCCTATCAGAAACATCCTAAATTGAGGCAGATGCAATCAGATATCAAAGTGTATATGCAAATGTGTAGCAGAAGGAAAAATGATAAACAAAGCAACAAATCGTAAAGCCTTAATTTACTTCTATTTTTTGACTGAAAAAAAAGGTATAAAGCTAGTGCTTTGTGTTTGCTCACCTCTTTCTCAAATAAACCTGAGAGGTCTAGGCATGAGGACATCCCAATTAACTGAAAAGCATTGATGAGGTTGGGTGATTTTGGACTCCCATCTTCTGATGGCTACACCGAAGGAAAATTCTTTTCAGTATGAGCACTAAAGCAATAAATAAGTGGTCAACAACGATAAGAGTATCTCAACTTCTTACCGCTTCCTGAATCGAAAAAGCTGCGTCATCGATACATACATCATCTTGTTCTTCTGCAGAATCCATTGGAGTATAGTCAATCTTAAACCATTCATCAGCTTTGATATCTGCTGTTGTTGCTCTGGTAACAGGGTTAGGATCAAGAATCCTCTTAATCATATTTTTAGCACCCGGTGACAACCATTTTGGTACCTGAGCATCCCCCTTGAAGATCTGGAGTCCATCAAGATAATCAAACATTGGATTTCTTTTCTAGAAAATGAAACACGATGGGACATTTTAAGAGAACAAAATACAAGATCGACAGCAAAATGTCAGTACCTTTTGATATAGAACAGCAAGATTTCTATCATCAAAAGGCAGGTATCCCGTGAGAATTACATACAAAATAACACCGCATGACCATATATCTGATGTAGCACCATCATACCCTCTATTCGAGAGAATCTCAGGCGCAACATAGTTAGGGCTTCCACAGGTTGTATGCAATAACCCGTCATCCTATGGCGTCACAAAGAGTTTAACAAAGAGTTTAGATAACATAAAAGAATATACGAACATATATACATGTTTAATGTCTAGAGAAGCATAATAACAAAGAGTTTAGATAACACAAAAGAAGATACGAACACATATACATGTTTAATGTCTAGAGAAGCATACCCTAAAATGCTGGGGCAAAGCACTGAGTCCAAAATCGGATATCTTAATGTTTCCTTTTGCATCAACAAGAACATTCTCTAGCTGCAAGTTGAGTCCACATTCGTATTAGAATGGCGAGCGGAAAAAAACATCACATTCAGATAGCATAAACAAATGTAATGACAGCTAATATGTTTACTTACCTTAAGATCCCTGTGAAAAACACCTTTGTTATGACAGTAACTGACACCATCAATCAACTGCTGGAACATCTTCCTGCCCTCTGCTTCTGGAAGCTTGCCCTTCGATGCCTACAGGAGATATGCAGCTGAATATGTCACAAAGCTTGAACCTTATCAATTTGAAGCATATCTCTTTATGAGGTTGATGAGCTCTAAACATATCAAATGTGAGTAAAGATTAATTCTCACGATTCTATCAAACAATTCCCCTCCAGTTACATATTCAAGGACCATATAAATCTTGGATTTGCTAGCTAGGACCTGCATTGGGAAAGGAAAACACAATTAACACAAAGTCAGCACACACAATCGCAGACAAACTTGTTCCATGCAGCAGTGCTGGAACAAAAGATGTAGTCTTTTGTTCAAATATTCATCATCATACGAGTGTTCAAATATTTTGAAAAACA